AGAATATAACACACAGAAACATTGTGCATATCAAAATTATGATTTGCTAAGAGAAATCTTTCCCTTATTCTGAGGCTATTGCAAACTGAATACACTGCTCTTTGGCATACTTTAGCCTTTGGATGATTAGTAGTACTGGACACATGTTGCTTTATCTCCCACAAAAAAACCCAAACCAAACCAAACCAAACCAACCAACCAACCAAAAACCACAAAAAACCCCCATAGAAAAAAACAAACCAAAAAAACCCCTTAAAGTTCTGGACTTCAAAGAGATTATTTCTCTAAAGTGCTTTATTTAGCCCATACATAAGATATCATTTTTCAGCACCAAGAATGATGGTCTTGAAACAGGCCATCTATTATTCTCCATGGACTGTGCTGGATTTGTGTGGGAAAACACAAACTGCCAGTTTGGTCAGCTTCTGTCATTTTCTGATTGAAAACACTTGTGTCTCTTCATTTCATGGCATCAGTACAGATCAAGAATCTTCTGCTTCATATGAAAAATGTTAAATGTCATCTCAGTTACAAGATGTAAAGAAGTGAAAGAAACCAAGGCCATTTTATTTAAATATGGACTTATTTAAATAACAGATCAAGTCCGATGCAAAACAGCGGTTTGGAAGTGAGATGTGCTTTCCATTGACACAGATCACAGCAGATGAGTTCAAGACAGTTATAATGATTAGTCTAATTAATGTTATATATGTCTGTAAAACGCTGCAATGGTTGCAGAGAACTATCATACACTTATATACCAGATACAAACCCCAGTGGATCAACTTTTCTAGTGTCATGGGCCACATTGGAAGGTTCAAGGTCAGACTGGATGGCGCTGTGAGCAACTCGATTTAGTGAAAGATGTTCTCCCTGCCCATGGTTGGAAGGTTGGTCTGGATGACATTTAAACGTCCCTTCCAACCCAAATCATTCTGTGATTCTATGAGCTAACACTCTGGACAACTGGGAGCAGCAGTTCCCCATTCTAACTCTTCAGACATACAGAAATGTGTCAAACAACATATTTTCTTTCCATCAGGTATAGATGGGATATATGGTAGTGACAGCACCACAAGTACTGGAGGAATCGCTTCTTGAAATTCTTTCCTAACACTGGCTAGAATATTCCTGCAGGAGTACTCTGATACATTAATTATACAGCACTGTCTGTCCCTGCTTTATTCTGGTATTGATCATGTTCTTTTACTTCTAATCAAGGAAAGGTGAGTAAGCAGAATGAAACACGCTATAAAGAAACACCCATCACGACAAGAAAAAGGATATAAGCTCATACTAATACCTTTAGAACAGGTATCTAGCTTTGAAAATGTAGGAGAAGATGATATAGAAAAGGCTACAGAGGGTACAAAGATAAGGACAAACTTTTCTATTTTTACTTAAAACAAATGTGTTACAATTCCAAATATAAAAATAACATGCCAAAAGCCTTGCTCTCAGGCATTTACCATACTAAATCAAATGCTGGTATGCAATATCATGGATTCAAATATATCTGTTATTTCTGACTCACCTAGTCATTTTATTTTTTATGAAGAATGGGCTTTATCAAAGGAATTTTGCTTAAAAAAGAACTTTGGAAGAGCTCTTTGAATAATGGCAGAAATAAAGAATCTTATTTCTAAAACTCGAGTTACAAAACCAGGAAAAACAAATGGAGGTTTTGTTTGTTTTTTTGTTTTTAATAAAATATTGATAAAACTGCACCTTAATGCTGAAATCCATACAAAGGATGCAGATTCCTTACAAAGACCCACATTTCTCCTACTTTTTTTTCATTTCAAATAGCTGTACAGAGAAAGTGGAGCTAGATAGTAATTTAGTCTCAACAAACCTCCCCAGAAGCAGAAAGGTTTTTCCATCTTTTGATGTTTTCAGGAGAATTCCAAAAGAAAGGATTGCTACTAGCAAGAATTGCTACTAGCCCAGATTTCAAAACTTACACAAAAAGAGAAGGGAGTCTCATGGAAAACGTGAGGAAAAGAAAATTATTTGAAATGGAAAGCTGCAAAACTCCATTTAAACTAAACTGATAAATTACCCATAATTATCAGTGATGATCGGTGATCAGGTGCTGAAGATGCTGCACCACTGGTCGCAGACTAACATTCATGTTAATTTAGGAAACTTTTCAGACTGTACATAATGGATGATCCTTCTGTGCATGTCCCAATCTGCTTGAAGCTGACTGAACAGCCTGGGGGACTTGTAGATTTACTAAACATTTCTGCTGATATGGACAGATCAGTCAAGGGTATGTTCAAGGGTACTTCCTAACTTCCAGAGTTGACCCAACAGAGGCCTCTACTCAAGATGTAGTTGAATAGGCAAAACTGTGCAAGTCATAGCACAGTTACTTCTGTTATGGAAAGTAATTGTACAAAACACACCTTTGCTACATGGCTACATCCCCATAGAAGCATCCTCCCATTACAATACATCATAGGATTTCCTGTGTCATCAGGCAGGTCCAGCTTAGGATTCAGTCTCCCCCCAGTGCTGGCAAATAACGTTACACTAGCCTGCTTGCAGTCATGCTCTATCTATGCAAAACTGGAATAAGAAAATGGAGAATCAGGTCCTGTATTTTACAGAAATGCTAGTTAAAAGCATCTTAATATTTCACTAGAATCAAATAAAACCCCTACATTTCTTCTACAACACTGCAAACTGCAGGAAAAGCAATTTTTCCTTCCCTTTCCTCCTATCTTTTACACCCAGCAACATTCTCATGATGCAATTTTTTCACTCTGTGAATACTTAAGCAGTGTATACATTATTTTATTTTAAATCCTGCCTAAAAATGCAGTTTGTCATGAAAAAAGAATTTTAAATCCTGCCTGAAAATATTTTTAAGCATGTTACTCTGAAAGATCTCACTGAAGATAACTAAAAGAAGTTATTTGTATAATCAAGTATTTTTATAATTAATAAAGATGAAAGTCACCCTAAGAGTGAATCTTGCAATTTTGCACAAAATATTCAATGTTTCTGGTTCTGTACTGACAAACATGAAGTAATCCCTTGTCTCTGATGAAACCTCCCATCTATTTGTGTCCTTTGTGAACTTCCAGCATATGGTGTTTTAAAAAAGACAGCTAAGAGCAATGGGCTTAGTAGTGGAGTTTTCCTTCAATAAGAAATCCACATCTTAAGCACAGCCATGAGGGAAACAAATCTACACTGTTTAAAATCCAACTAGAATAGCTTCTTCAAGAGTTTTAACCATAAAATTTTTTAAGGAAAAAAAAAAGGCAGCTGGAAGATATTAACTTGGTTTCTAATTGAAACAATGGTGTGTTTTATTTCATGTTGGGATTTCAACAGACTCTTAATTAGAACTTTTACCACGCAGTTTTCAGTAAAAGTATCTTGATGACATTCTGGTTGTCGAGACGTTCCTGGGAGACTTGACACCTGTTACTCCTTGGAAGAACATTCACTCAAAAAGACAGGCAGGCAAATAATACTCCCCAACTCATAGAATAAATATTAAGTCTAAATAACCAGAGTATTTAAAAGAATAATGAAAATACTGAAAAATAATTTGTGCAGTCCAGACTTTGTGATGATAGGCAGACAGCAGTGCTTAAAACAAAAGGCAAAAACGCATGGGTTGCCTGCTGCATTTTAGAATACTAATAGAATATTTACAATGTAAATGTATAGCTGGTAAAGTCACTACTATGGCATTTCGTAAGGACATGAAAAATTATGCTTACCTATGTTATGAAAAACAGGGAGGGGAGGGGAGGGGGGGGGTGGGTTGGGTGTGTTGGGATTTGCGTTCTCGTTCTTGTCGTTCAGTCGGGTGCTTTTTAAATACTGTCAGGTATGGGACACTGATCACCTATCTAGGAAGCCTGTTCTTGGTAAAGAAACTTTTCCTAATATCAGATCTGAACTTTCTCTGATGCAGCTTTGAACCATTCCCATGTGTCCTGTTACTGGATACCAGGGAGATCAGCAGCTCCTTCATTTCCCCTTCTCATACTGATCAAAATAACTTGAGTTTAACTCCTAGGCTTTATTGACATGGACAACATTAATTTTCAGTGCTGATTATCAAAATAAAAAGGGATAGAGGTATAAAATAATAACATCATCAACAAAGCTTGAGATGCATGGGTAAATTAGAGAAATTATTTTTTTTTCTGCAGTAACTTAGTTGCCTGACTTTTGGGATTAAGAAAGTCCCTCAATTTTCTCCCTCTTACTAAGAGACAAATAATGTTCTCTGTATTATGTAGACACAGAAATAAATGCATCAACTGCAATCTGGTCTGAGTTAGCTCCATCTTTTATGTGAAGAAGGTCTATGAAGGCACATTTTGGGATTCTTTTATGGATTTAAATGAAGAGGGATCTAAACTGTTATTGCAAGAGCAGTTTTCTGTCAAATTTTAGATGAAGTTTATTGTCCCAGAAGTGGAATTCTCATATGAACACTCCTAGGCTGTTTCAGTACAAAGTCAGCAGAGTCAGCTTTAAGCATCTTAAAACAAATTTGGATGACTTTACACTTATATGAACAACTTACATAGACACTTTTAGCTTCACAGCTGTGTCAACAGAAACCGTAAGAAATGACTTCTCAACTCCTATAACTAGATGCAAGAGAAATGACCTGTGTATGCCTTCAGCCCCTCTCAGAACGAGAAAAATTAAAAAGGATGTTAGACAGACTGTGGCAACACGGCTACTAGCTCAGTCTCAGGACATACCAATGTCTATTAATGGGAATTCAAACTAGACTCATCAGAAACCAAACTCCAAAACCTATAAGAATTTTGTATTATTTTTCTCATCACATATAAAATAAGATGCCTTTAGAGTCAAATTTCAGGCAAAGTTCACAGAGTCCATGTTCTTTATGGCATGGATATTGCAAAAATACTGTGGCAAAAACTGTCATAGAAAATACAACCTGCCTCATAAGCAGATTCATCCTATCTACACCTGAAATGTTATCGTCTTACCTAGAGCTGCTCTCTGAATGTGCCTCTGGGTTATCTCTCCCTTCAGACAGTCTGTAAAGGACACAAAATGCAAATAGTTAGAATTCAAAATGTCAAAAATCAATGAAGTCATTGCTTTCCCATCATTTGAAATTCCCTGTGCTGCTGGCCAATTTTAGTTTTTTTTTTTTTTGTGACCCATGGGACAGGAATTTTTCTGAGTTTTGTCCTCTCTACTGCAAGTAAACAAGTAGGCACAATGCGACTCTACATATCCTAAGATTTAACTTTGTCCAGTAAGAAAAACTAAAAATGAGGCTCTTTACTGTCAAGCACTTTCACAGGATAATGATCTGATGTTGCTAGATACAAAAGAAATCCAAGTGAGACTAAAAGACATAGAGAATCCCAAGTATTTTTTCAAACAGACTTACAGGCGCTAACGGTGGAAAGGAGATATTAGGTCACTAGTCTGCATCTTTGCCAGTGAAAAATTGGTCCCCTACAGTCCATTTGTCCTGTTTGTCTAGCCCAGTTTTAAATATCTCACGTGCTAGAGCTTCTGCAAATTCTACTAGTGTCCTGGTTCCAGCCAGGACAGGGTTAATTTTTGCAGTAGCTGCGAGGGGGCATGGCTAGGACACATAGGTTATTCTATACCACCTCATGTCCTTGCTGGGATGGTGTGAAAGGGACTCTATTCCAGGTAGAAGGGGTTCTTTCCAGTTGAGAAAACATGGTAGAGGGAACCATCCAGTATTGCCTGTTACCATGAATCCTTTCCTTTCTTGTATGCTGTTATTAGTAGTGTTGCTGTTAGTGTTCATTTTCTTATTTCATTGCTGTTTCCAGTAAATTGTCCTCATCTCAACCTGTGATCTTTGCCTTTTGTGCCTCCAATTCTCCTCTCACCTGCCGCAGTGGGGAAGGGGGAGAAAGCAGGGGAGTGAGAGAAAGAGCGGTGTGTGGTTTGGAGAGTCTTGGTGGGGGCACTAAATTGGGGAGTACAGTTCCTAAACCACAACAACTACTCAGCATAAGTCACAGTGTAGAGGTCGTTGATTTTCAACCAAAAATTAACTAAAATTTCATTATCTCATTATTTCTAACTAGGCTTCCATGCCCCATATAATTCACCTTTACCCTTCTTTTATCAATTTTCACCCTATTCTATGATATTGTTGCAATTTACCAATTATTCCAAACCATAATTAAATTACGACATGGGAAGCCACTATTCAGAGACATTAATGAAAACAATAAAGGAAAAACATAATGCTCAATGCACAATTTCAGCAGTGCGTGTGTTCTGAGGAGGATGGAATTATGCCTTTCAAGTTTTCAAATTAAAACCATTTCTAAGCAGAGACTTGTTCATAATCTTTACTAAGCTGTACATCTGGATACGAGGGAAAGAAAAAAAGTCCGCAGGATTCACTTTTTTTTCCCCCAGACCTCTGATTATCTATTATCATATTATCATATTAGCATGTATTCTGAATTAAAAATATCCTTTTGCTTACAAGTGAAGACCTACAGAATAAACTAATCAGAGCAAATTAACTCATTAACAGTTGTCAAATGCTTAAACAGAGAATGTAAAAAAACATTTAGAATTCACAGGTCATGAGAATTAGACTGCTCTGTGAGCACAAAAGAACCATGACAAATTAAACTTTTTTGGGAATTATGAAAATAATTGTAAAGTATTTAGTAGCATTGTAGAAATGATATTGTATGCAATACATTACAGTGTAACAGTAAAGTTTTGCTGTTTTGAATATTTATAGAGAAACAAACAAACCAAAGCACCCTACCTACTCCTTGACTATAAAATAGATATTGCAGAGTTGTATTTTCCTGCAGAGGAAGTTTTATTCTTTTTAGTTATTTTTACTTAAACCAATGAATTCTTCTGTACTTAAAGTTAGCTGTAAAATTAAGAAAAGCCTTCAGCTACTGAGAAAGAGATTAAGTGAAATAACTAACCTCATCTACCCCTGCTATAACAAACAAATAAATCCTCCACCTAAATCCCCTTAATAATTTTTACCAATAAAAGCAGTGTTAAATGATCAATGCTCACCATATTTGTGCTTTGAAAGCTTTATCAAGCAACTCAGTTGATGTCAATACTCAGTACAGTGTGATTAAATGTGCTATTTATTCCCTCAAATTGCTTTTTGCTACTCTGGATATTTAGATCCTTGTATTCTATTGCACTGTATCACACAGCGTGATGTTACTCAATATTGAGCCACGAGACAGTCATGAAACAATTTGTAGTAATCTTGAGATTCATCTCAATGGATTACCATTAACTGAGGTGCCTCAGAAAGCTATCTATATATTTATCTTCATGTAAGAGCTTATAAACTCTCTTTCTTATGCACTGTGAGCTGCAAAAGGCAGCTCCCATTGTCATACGATAAAAATGGTTGTAGTAGTGAGAATATGCTGTTCATCAAGAGCCAACTGAAAAAAAGGGTGACATACAGTTCTCAATCCTGTCAATATATGGTGTTATTTCTCCTTCTTTAACCTTGCTAGAAACAGATCATCAGCAATCTAAATGTTTTGCATGTCAAGTGGCAATGAGGTCAACTGAAAAAAGCAAGGCAAACAAGTCAATGAAAGTAAGATCGAACAGATAGATAACAGTTTGCCATCAGTACAAATATGTGGAAACACAAGAACATGGGGACTGTTTTTAAATGATTATAGCCAAGAGGCTTGACTTTTAATTATGTAGAATTCACTTTCAACACAGCTGGGATAGAAACCACAGAGGCTGCAAAAGTTCTGCTTCTGTTGCAAGCTTTCTCAGATCAGTCAGCAGTGTGAAACTGTCCCAAATGCTCCTCTCCCCTTTCATTCTAGCCTTTGTACACTACTGCTCCATCCATGACATGGACCATGATGTTGCAAGAAACCTTGTCCTTCAATTTGGCAGCTTTGTGAAAGAATGAGAAGCTGGAACCAGACCACCTGTAGTCAGAGAGGAACCAAAGAAAACTTCTCTTTTGGCCAGAAAAATAAAAATCCAGTGTCAGCACTCTTCTAGCAAGAGTTTTTATTCTTTAAATAGAAACAGAAAGGTGACAGTTTTCCGATTCACATAGTCCAAACTGCCTTTTCAAGGCAGCAAAAACTGAACTTCATTTTGTAGAAAACTTCCTGAGGAGAAACTGTAATTGTAATGGGAAAAGTAGCCCAAAAAGGAATTCTGATTCCGAGGACATGGTGGTGTCATGAGGCACCTGACTATAATTCCATACCAAGACTTAGCCAGATATTATTTAATCTTTCAATTTGTTTTAATCCAATTTGAAATCTGACAGTTTATGTAGATTTAATTTGGAAAAAATTGGTTTTCACGTAGAAACTCTTATTTTTGACATAACCTTAAGATTCTCTGTGCATGTTTTTCATTAAAGTAATCTTGTTTTGTTTTCAGGATAAATACTTGTGGGGGAGAACGAATGTTTCTGAACTGTTCTACTTTTCTGCCTCTGAGAACATTAATGCAAGGCTTGAAGTTCATAAGTGACAGAAGTAGGGGGTGATTCCAGTACTGTTGCCTGCACAGATCTTCCCATATAAACAAATGGAAGACTTCAGTCTTTAGTACTGCCAGTTCTGCAATCTTCATAAACACAAATATTTACCCAAAGAAATATGAAGAATCACATTCTCATTAAAATACCCATGTCTTCTGATTCCAACAGTATAAAGTTGTGGACAAGGTAGTGCTTAAATGTGGTTTGCAAAAATTGAATTTAAGACTTGGAGAACATCTCTCAACATATGGCTAATTATGTTTTCTGAAGTTTCACCAAACAAGAAGTTAAAAATAGGTCTATAGCTGATACCAAATTTTTTCCAGTGCAGTCATTCTTCATTTGGAGATAACGGTCCCAAGAAAATGTTGAATGCTGCAACTCTACATGTTTTGGCAAAAAAGTAGTTTTGGGGAATTTAAGAATTCACTCAGCATGCAGCCAGCTGTCATTAAGGTTGTGATAAATCTATTGTTTTTGGCCTGTGTTTCTGGACACATGTACCATCCTGAGGTATGGAAAAGAGATGAACTGGTAACACAGAAATTCAGCTTTGTGACAGGAGACAAAAGCAAGAAGGGAAACAGAGAACACTAGAAAAATGGACTAGAGAAATCTAATTAAGACTGATGTAAAGCAGAAGAAACTATCCCATACGGTGACTAAATATGAATATATAACTTGAATAATATGGCTTTAACTTCTTGTCTTTGTGTTGTTTCAGACTGTTTCAAGGATCTGAAATTATCTTCCAAATTATTACAGACAATGAATGCTTTGGCCATACTGCATATGCTTCAATTGAAAAATGAGTATATTACAATTAAGAAAACAGTGATTTAAAAAAGTATTTTCATTTTGTTTGAGTCCGTATGACAGGTTTTAAAACTACTCTTACATTTTATCAGATCCTCCATATAATACTATTATAATGTTTCAAAGGCTGCTAACTTAAAAGATAGAAGTGCTGGTCAAGTAAAGAGTACACATACAACCTTAACTCCCTTTGAGAGTATTTGTTGCTACTGGTATGGATAGACCTTTAACTTGGCACAGGGTCTCTTCTGACTCAGTAATTGACAGGCTAAAGCCTTTGTCAATAACTCTTTATCTCCTGTTATTTTTTAGTATTTTTCTATTATTTTACATTTTCCAAGCCTGTGTTTATCCTAATTAGTCCTTCCATCCTGGAGATCCTGAAATCTTCACACCTCATCTAGGATGCTGTATCTCCTTCTTTCTTCATCGTGAAATCGTTTTTGATGTTACATAAAATATTAAGCTGAAAAACCTCTTATGCATCCAGGGAACCTCTAATTCCTGGAATTCACCCTCCAGGAAATTTTGGGTCCCTAACTGAGCTATATGGTAGTAGTTGTTTCTTTTTTTTTTTTCTGTTTCTTTCCCCCAATCCTGCCAGAGGGGAATGAGCAAGTGGCTATGTGATGCTTAGTTGCCAGCTGGGGTTAAACCATTGCAGGAAATATGCGAGGGTTTTGTTTGTAATGCAAT